AAACATTCTTCGAAACATTTGGGATAATGTAAGTACACAAGTCAGCAAAATGTATAACACTGTTCTAGCAATTTTTGTATATTTTAATAAAAACATCTTACATATTGTGCCTATAAGAAATGAAATGCTGTGTGTTGCTCGGAGATGAACAGTTCTGCTTTGTCTTTATATTTTCGTTGACAAAATTGAGCAAAACAGACAACATCGTGTCTGAAATAACACAATTTTAACTTCTTACTTACTGAACTGTTGTATAAGATCGGTATCACATTTGCACTGGTGTGATATTGTTTAACTATATGATGTAAATATATCTTGAATTTGAGGGACATTCTAACTGTTCTCTAGGCTCATCTCGCAGTGAGTTGTTGCTCTGCCTCATATTTCTCATCAGTCAGCTGTATGAGATCTCAGATGACACAGAGGTCTGGGGCGAGTAAGTTAAATGCGTTAATAATTTTAACGCTTTATTTTTCGCCGTAATTAATTAATCTGATTAACGCGTTACATTACCAGCCCTAGTTTTTACTGTATTTTTTTATCAATTAAATGCAGCCTTAGTGAGCAAAAGATTCTAATTAAAACATTAAAAAAATCATACCAACCCCCAATTTGTGAACTGGCGGTCTATCATTATAAACATTGGATTGCATGAAATTAGTAATTGACTAATTATAATAAATATAAATGACATTTTAAATTCCATAACCAATGCATTTTTTTGTGTACTCAGGATAATTAGGTTTGTCTGCTTTATATTCTGTTAATATACCTTGTTTGTAAGCTATTTTGAGGTTGATTCTTCAGGGCAGAAATACACTGCAGCATGTGGCGATAACAGAGACTGCACTTTTGAAACAGAGAACATTGTTAGGTCAGATTAGAACAGGTGACACATGATCAGCAGGTTATTTATAGGATAAAACACAAGCCCCCTTCTTTTGTAAACTGGGGAAAAAACAGCAGATTACACCAAATCCACAGATTTCCCACCCTGTCTTTCATGCATGTGAATACATATTTTAAGAATTTAAATCCTCAAACCTGTGGTTCTGTGAGGGAATCAGTTGTTGTTCGGACAGATGACTTATAATAGCAGATATGAGAGAAATCCGATACTTTCCTCGTTGTTTCAGTCTGCTCCTGATATCCAAGCTGAGATATTTCTGAAGATAAGGGGATAGTTACACGGCTGTACTGTAACCATGTGTTCATCTTCACCATCAAATCAAGATCTGATGGACTGGAGTGGTGTGGATTACTTGTGGATTATTGTGATGTTTTTATCAGCTGTTTGGACTCTCATTCTGACGGCACCCATTCACTGCAAAGCATCCATTGCTGAGACACTGATGCAGTGCTACATTTCTACAAACCTGATGAAGAAACACACTCAACCTAATCTTGGATGCCCTGAGGGTGAGCACATTTTCAGCAAATCATAATTTTTGGGTTAACTATCCCTTTAAAGGTGACATATCATGAAAATCTGACTTTTCCAGGTTTTAAGTGCTATAATCAGGTCCCCGGTGCATCTACAGACCAAAGAAACGTGAAAAAGATTAACCCAGTAACTTTGTTTTGGGAAGCCTTTTTCTGCAAGCGTCTGAGAAAACGAGCGCGTCTGATTTCGCTCCCTTGGTGACGTGGCAAAGGGATCTCATTATAATATCACCGCCCCTTAATCTGTAAGTTTACACCCACGGCACCGTCATTGTGTTTTCGCAAGTGACAACAGTGTACCAGTTCTAATGCCATGGAGAAAGTCTGAGCTAAGCATGCTAACTGTTCTGTGTTTGGCTGCACAGACCAGCTGTAATGGTGCAGCTCTATTCTGGAAAAGGGGGCGGGGAGCAGCAGCTCATTTGCATTTAAAGAGACAGGCACGAAAAACAGCGTGTTTCTGCTTCCACTCAAAATAGGCATTTTCAAAATGATATAATAAATGATCTGTGGAGTATTTTGAGCTGAAACTTCACAGACACATTCTGGGGACACCACCAGAGACTTATATTACATATTGTAAAAAGGGGCATAATATGTCTCTTTTAATGGTTACAGCATATTTTGTGGACAGTAATGTTTAGGGCTCAAGCACTGAAACTGTAAAGATACCTATTAGTTTTCTTGCTTAAAGTTTATTGCCCTCTAGAACCATATAGCAAAGAGTGTCTTATCATGTTCTGGCTTATAACTGTTGAAATGAATGGCCTACTCCTCCCTTCACCTTTTTCCACTGTTGTAAAACTCATCATGACATCAAAACTATATAACCACTATAAATATGACAAGTGAAGTAACTCATAAAGCAACAGTATGTCGGAAACAGCTGTGCTGTGCTGAGCCCATCTCTGCTCCAGTGTCACGCCTGTTATCTTACTCTCGCAAACATCATTCTCCTTATGCAGTTTTGAACAACTGAATAAATAAATTTATGAATAAAAATAATACATGTGCAACACAACTCAACCAAACACCGAAACCATGCTAGAAAACAAAACAATGCAAAATGTGTCATGGACATGGTAGGACATTTTTTGTTAGGAATTCATGACATCTGTTGTTAAATCTTCTCAATGTAATTAGGGACAACCTGATGACTGATATTTATGGTGCCAACCTCTACAACCGCTAGCTCGAGGAACGGGTGGCCTGGAAGACCACCAAAGCGGTGGCAAACACAGTGACCGGAGCAGGCACGCAGGAGGTGGACATGGACCCATCGCCCTCCACCACCTCCTGCAATCCATCCTGGTGTGCACAGGCGTCTACAACCCACACCTGGAGCTACCTAAAGATGCCAGCCAGTGCATCAAAGAGACCGTCTTCAGCGGCTTCGACCCTGCCCTGCTGGAGCCGGAGAAGATCGTGGAGGACGTGGAGGCTGCTGTTGAGCTCATCTTTGAGATGGAGAAGTTCGGGACAGCGGTTCAGCTGCGCAAATGCAGCGATGTTACTGATTCAGTATGATTCCACCTATCCATTTTAGTATGTGTTTTATGGAGAAAACCTTTACAAATAAGCACAATGCATAACTGAGAACACATCGTTAAAGATCTCGTGGCATTTTAGCTTTACTGGACAGCATGATTTCATTTTAACTGTAAAGTGTCCGTGGTCCAACAGTATCTTTTCATAAGCTCTGACTGAACAGATTTGCATATGCTACTCTCTAGAGTGAGTAGAGGGCATGAAAACACAGTGCTCCTGCTCTAGACTGATGTGCCATGAATAAAACAAGGGCAAAACTGTGGCAGAAGCACACAATCGGTTCAATGTGACCAGCTCTGACAGCTGCTCTTCTGCATCCCTGGATTGTAAGGGCTATCAGTCTGCCTTTTTCAATAGACTGTCATAGACCATTAGTACTTCTATTATTTTTCAGATAGTTCAGTATTGTTAAAATCATAATACAGTAACTTACTGTTTTGACATTTTATCAGTACAGGTCCCAAAAATGTGGTCTACCATGTTTATAGAGTTATATGTGTAATACTTCATATTAATTCAACATGTTCCATATTGTTACCTTCGTTGTGCCAGATCTACATAGGTAATTGTTACATTGTTACGCCTACATTTTTTTTTTAAAGGTTATTTATGTTTGATTTGGTTACTGTTACACTGTAGCATTATGCTGAGATTTGCACAAAACAACCATGCAGACAATAAAAGCCATTGTTTTTGTCTTTTACCAGTAAATGATAAGGTCCACGCTTTGCACCTCCAGTATATAGTTCTGGTAGTTGCCAGTTTTTCACTCGTAACTATAAAGTACATAAACGTTAACCTCCTCAAATGTATACTCTGCATATACCTGGGTTAATAATTTTGAGTTTTCTACACGTGACCAATTAATGCATTCATATTTGCTGAAGGAATTAAGCATTTAAAAAAAAGTGTGATACATACAGGTTATGCTGTGATAGGTTTATTGATAAAATAATATAATTTATCAACAAATACAGATTGATCATGTTTCTCAAAACTTTTAACCGATTGACCAAAAAACAGCAAAATGCATAGTAATAACACAGTGACATTAAAAACAAACTACAATATTAAAAGGCACTATAAATTCTCTGAAGAATCCTCTTGCAATATGATTTACCTTCAAGTACACCTGACTTTTCACATACTGTTGTTTTTCACTCAAATTCTGTATAACCAAAGAAATTCATTTTCCAAAAATACACATTTGTGAAACTAAACACTTGACATTCTTAAAGGCTGCCACCATACCATATACTAAATTTAGACCTCGATTTGAAAGACCTACATTTTTGTCTTGATTTAAAAGATAAATAAAAAGTACCGATCTGAGCTCTTAACCTGAAGAAGATATTGCAGGCTAATACAAATACGGCTCTGGTTATTCATGCTTACTTGAGATGAAATGGCAATTGATGTTACTTCCTAATTCATCAGTGCAATGCTGTCACAAATTAAACACGGCACAATATTTTCAGAAAAATGCTGTTTTGCAAGTTTAAAAAGCTAGTTTATTATGCTCTTATTGTAATTAATGAGGCTTTGTAAGATATTGCAGGCTAATACAAATACGGCTCTGGTTATTCATGCTTACTTGAGATGAAATGGCAATTGATGTTACTTCCTAATTCATCAGTGCAATGCTGTCACAAATTAAACACGGCACAATATTTTCAGAAAAATGCTGTTTTTTTTGCAAAAATTGCAAAAATGCTAGTTTATTATGCTCTTATTGTAATTAATGAGGCTTTGTATATATAAATGAATGCAAAGTATAAAATATCAATGCCTATGTGACATCTACAATACAATTTCAGTTCAAAAGGGTTGCAAGAACAGTCTGCATTTTTTTTAAATTGTCCAGTTTATAAAAAACATACATTTACACAAAATAGCACATAATTAAAGAGTAAAGCAACCCATCTTGGCAGCCGTTAGGAGAGTACAGTAAACACACTGCATTCAAACCAATTCACCCAAGAGCACTGCAGACGGCCACTCATTTACAAGTGATGTTGCTACCTGGATTATTAAATGCATTCTGAAAAATGTTGCATTTTTAAATATATTTTTTTCTTTAAATCTTAAAAAATGCATTAAAAACATTGGCAAAATGTCTTAGGATGACGGCTCCTGATACAAAGCTGGGAATTCAGGCCAGTAAAATCAGAATGAGAGATTTCTGGTCAATACAGACGAAAGGGAAAGTCACAAAACCTATAACCTCTACAGAAACTCCATTCCGTGCAACAGAAGTGATTTGTCTCTCTGTGTTCTGTTGCAAGTGTCCATTTCAACATTTTCACACAATCACTGCGGCCTCTGCTCTTGAAATCATGAGTAGCTATAAAAAAGTAGAAATATTGATGACAATGACTTCATCATTGCTGAGCCAGTTACCAAAGATCAGTTACATAACTATTAGGAAGATTGAGCCAGTGGCAGTGCACCTTACTCTGGCTAAACACATTTACCACAACTGGAATGAGAAATAACTGGGTGTCGATCACACCGATGACAAAATATGTCTATCCCTCACAGCCTCGTCTTCATTTGCATCAATTAAATATGATACGGTCAACCAAAGCATGCAGTACAAAGCCTCTGCTGGCATATAAACACGTCACACACATGTGCAAGCCTACAGCCGGTCTGACGAGCGACAGGGCATCTGATCAGCAGCTTGCTTTGTTATCTCAGGAAGCCCTGGCCATTGTGAAGTCTCACTGGTCCAAAGTCTGGCTACACATAACCATAACCGCACATTAAGCATCAAACACATCTGACTGCCTGCGATTGTGTCACGTCACACAGTAGTTTTGCGTTCAGTGTGGACAGACAGAACTGGAAACTTCTTACGGTTTATGACAACGTCTTATTTGTTCTTTCAAGCCTAGATTTTTAGAAAAAATTTTTGTCTGCTTATGATTTTTTTTTAAATGTGTGACAATTTTGTTCTTGGCAATCATGCCCAATGTCTTCACAGGTAAGTCTGACTGTTTTGAGAGTCTTTTACTCCTAGTAAGGTCTCCTCCTGACAGCACTCAATCTATACAGCAACTGAGCGAGCTTTTTATTGCTCATCAACACTCACATCCCCAGCCCTCACTGCTCACATCCTTGCTGTTGAGTTTAAAGCTGTCGGTCACGTTCTCAGTGAACATGGGCCCGCCGTGTCTCAGGATGAGCTCACTGGTCATCTGGTTGAATGCCTCTTCCACATTGCTGGAGTCCTTGGCTGAAGTCTCGATGGCGCTAACACAATCCAGCTGCTGAGCCATGCTCTGTGCATCCTCAACCGGAACTTCACGCAAGTCCGGCAGGTCTGATTTATTACCTGGGATGCAAAACTAAACCGATTTAATCAGGAGACCTTGCAGAAACAGTTATTTAAAGGAATAGTTCACACAAAAATGACATTTTGCTGAAAATGTTCTCACTCTCAGGCCATCCGAGACGTAGATGAGTTTGTTTCTTCATCAGATTGTTCATCAGGTGAGGAAGAAACAAATTCTAGTAGAGCTGCACGACTCTGAACTGAACAAAATATTATTGCTGCAGTCTATTTAAAAGTGCTTAACTAATTGGAATGGTAAAATCTTTGAATGAATGAATAATTCAATGACAAATACATTTTTTAAGTCACTTTTCTCCATCTAGTGACAAAACAATGCAATCACACAAAGGTTATTTGAAGCTCCAGTTACTTTCAAACGGGGATTTGCTCTATTTAGACATCAACTTTCTCCCCAGTATTTCTGTGATGATATGAACGACTGTAAGACAGAAATAATAGTGTGCCGCTGAAAACAGGGTAGCTCTCTGTCTCTGTGTCAGATCGCGATCTTTTAACAATTGTGACCCTGGAGCACAAAACCAGTCATAAGGGTCAATGTTTTGAAATGTGATGTATGGTTTGTTAGGATAGGACAATATTTGAAAATCTGGAATCTGAGGATGCAAAAAAATCTAAATATTGAGAAAATCGCCTTTAAAGTTGTTCAAATGAAGTTCTTAGCAATGCATATTACTAATCAAACATTAAGCTTTGATATATTTACGGTAGGAAACATACAAAATATCTTCATGGAACATGATCTTTACTTAATATCCTAATGATTTTTGGCATAAAAGAAAAATGGATAATTTTGACCCATACAATGTATTGTTGGCTATTGCTACAAATATACCCCAGCGACTTAAGACTGCTTTTGTGCTGCAGGCTCACATATTAATCATGCAGCTCTACCTGAGGGTGAAAACTGTTTTAGGGTGATCTATTTCTTTAAAGCAATTACAATTCATAAAGGAAACCACGGGAATGCCAGACACACTCATTCCTCAGCTCTGCACTCACCGATTAACAGCGGGACGATGTTGGAACCTCCATATTTCTTCACGTCCTCCATCCACCTGGGCACAGACATGAAGGAGGCTCTCTTCGTGATGTCGTAAGTGATGATGGCTCCGTTGGCGCTGCGGTAGTAACTCTGTGTGATCGTGCGAAACCGCTCCTGTCCGGCTGTATCCCAAATCTGTAACTACACCACTGCATATTTACCTTTACCTCTATTGCCTTTTCTATTGTACTGTACTATCACACTTATAAATACTGCACCCACTCTACATTAGGTGTCTTTAGCGATGATGTAATTGTGCTGAAGTTTGATACAGTGTACTTATCCTACACACATGTTGTTGCATTTACTATAAGTAACATCCGGATACACACAAGCGAAAACCCCAGTGATTCACTAATTAAATCTCCAGTTAGCAGATCACAGAATTGGTCATGTATAACTCATCACTACAGCGAATATGTCTGCTGTTGCATATTTATATGACTTTAAGCTGCTTGTGTGCTAAACTGGGTTTGGAACAACATGAGGATGAAGTTTAATTTTAATTTTTGGGTGAACTTTAAGGCGCTTTCACACTAAGTGCGAAAGGAAATGCTGAATACACATTTCTGAATGAAAAGTAAACTCGCATTCAAAACAGATTCACCTGGTCTTTTCTCCAGCTGTCAGAAGCGGAGAGGGATGAGTAACAATAACAATACAATAAACAAAGCAAAACTGCGTCACCAATTTTCAGTCATATTTGGGCCTTTAGCCTGATCAACAGCACAACTTTTCTTACTTGATTAATGACCAAGAAATAGTGCAGAATCTTAAATAGTTATTCTTCGTTTTGCATTTTTCCATTCATATAACATGACTGACAGTTTTGTATGCATTATCTATGAAAAACTAAGGTGTAATGTGCAAAATAAAGCGGTTTTCTCAAGCTCAAGCGGTACAAAAACATGACATGACACAACAATTTCAACCCAGGACAGAAAATACAGAGAGAAAACATGAGATTTTACTAAACCAATCCAGCACAACCAAGTACCTGTGTTTTGGCTTATGCTTATGAATGTTGCAAAAGGGTTATTACAGAAGATAAATAAAAGCACATTAGACTCAACGGACTCCACAGACAGTTTGATCTAGGCTTTGTTTACAGCTTGACAAACACCTTGGCTATTGCATAAGCGTCCAGTGTGCCAACTTTAAAGGGGTCATATGACGTTGCTAAAAAGAACATTATTTTGTGTAATGAAATGTGTTTATGTGGTTTAAGTAGGGCTGGGTGATATAGCTAAAAAATGTATCAACGATATAATGTTTCATATCGTTCGGTATCAGTAATTATTGACATTTTTTATAACCTTTTTTAAAACAAAGAGCAATAGAAAAAAATGTTTTAATTTAACCACTGTATTTTTTAATTAACTCAATTTATTGAGACAAACAACAAATATTTTTTTGTTTTAACAGTCAAAAACAAAATAAAAATTAAACATATCTCTATTTCTAATATTTTATATGCAGATTAAATAGATTAAACGTTTGTCTTGTCTCCCGAGGCCACAGGAGGGCGCAACGATATGCAAAATAATGCAGCACATTAAACTGTCAACTTAAGGAAGTAACTGTCTATAAAAACGTGCGTTACGTCTAAAAGAACTCATATAAATCAAATATAATTTAGTAAATTGCATAAACAATTATGAACAAAACAGCATCATGTATTTATGCATTGCTTAATACAAAGAGCCGAAGCGATAAAAACGTGCATTACGTCTAAATTAACTCATAAAAATCAAATATAATTTCATAAATTGCATAAACAATTATGAACAAAACAGCATCATGTATTTATGCATTGCTTAATACAAAGAGCCGAAGCGCCCATCACGCAGACTGCATTTAAAAACATACGAGACGCAGTGAAAAGGAAAAAACCTCCACAAAAATGTGACGTGTTTTCTAAAAGTTTAAACTGTTTTAACTTTGCATGGCTACATCTCTTGTGTGAGACGCGAGTGCAGCAGACATATTTGTCCGTCTAGAAAATGCGCTGAATATGCGTTCTGTGTGAATGGTTTCGGTTTTAACCTAATCAAGATCTTCTACGCATTGCTACTATATTTCTCTAATATTGTGAATGAATAACGCAGCAGCGGCGCGTCTCGTGGGCTAGACTAACAAAACATTAAAATGCAACGTCACTTACATCATTATCACCGCATCTCGTGCTCCACTGATGACGCTCCCTGACGCACTGCTAACGTTGGATTGTACTATTTTTGCATTCAAATGCAAATGTTTATTTTAAATTCGACTAATATTCATTCTTCACTCACAATCTCCTCATCACAGGCACAGCACTCATGCTGGTGTTTGTGTGTGCTGTCTGCCTCACTCAGAGCACGTGACTATATCGTGCGCTATATCGAACATTTTTTATATCGTTATCGAAGATGGTGTACCGTCGATAAATATCAATACCGTTTTATCGTCCAGGCCTAGGTTTAAGGTTCAAAAAACACATTATTTTGTTATATTAATATTGTTTCTCCTCTATGCCCCGCCTTTCTGAAACGCGTCGATTTTTACAAAGCTCATTGGTCTGAAAAGCGAGGTGTGCTGTGATTGGCCAGCTATCCAGTGCGTTGTGATTGGCCGAATACCTCAAGCGTGTGACGGAAATGTTACGCCCCTCACCATACTGTGATGATGCCCTGTCCGGCCGGAGCGACGAGACAAAAACATTAAAACCCATTATAAACGAGGCATTTGTTGCATCCAGTGGGGACATAGTTACTGATTATAATGACTTATACTGTCTTTTTACACGTTGCGTTGCATCGCGCCGCGTAAACATAAAACCATGTCTGCATTTGTGATCGGAGAAATGACAAACAACAAGCGCTACCCTACACTGCTCAAAACTCACGTTTGAATCATCAGTGGCAAATTCTTTAAATATAAAAAACATACTTACAGTCTGTGAGTCAGAACACCGGCATTGTAGTCTACAGCAGTGTTTCCCAACCGGGGTGCCGTCTGTCGAGAGCAGATCTTCTTTATGCACCAAGAGCTTGTAACACTCCAAAGAGAAAGGAACAATTGAAATCGCATCATATGACCCCTTTAAAGTACATAAAGCCAACAACAAACTTCACAGCATTTTCACTTTTATTAGTCCACGTCAGAAGTGACGGTCTTACCTCCTAATATTAAAGTCAAGACAACTATTATTATTACACGTCTGTGTACAACTGTGATGTGTTAGTCACCTCTCAGTTAAAAATAATATTCATAATAATAAAATGGCGATTTGCAGGAAACCCCAAATAAATGTGACAAGGCGTACAGTAATAACAATAACTACAGTAAGGCCATTTTTTGGTACAAATGTGGTCACCACAGTATAAGAGACTTCATTTTATGGGTAAACTCGACTTTTGGATATCAGACTTAACTTATAACCCTAAAACAGGACAGTAACGAGTGCTAACCTTAACTCTCTTGCCGTGTATGTCCAGGGTCTTCATGGTGAAGTCCACACCGATCGTGTTCCCTTGTCTTTCGAGGAATACGCCGGTCTTGAAGCGCTGCACCACGCAGGTTTTGCCGACACCGACATCTCCGACAAGAACTATTTTGAAGACTAAATCGTAGCTGTCCTCGGAGTCCAGCAGTGACATCGCTGCAGCGCGAGCGCTCCTGTAAACTGACGCGACGCGACGCGGAAGAGCGCTGCTTCAGGTGTCTCAGAGCCGCGCCTCACTGCTTCACCACGGTAAACAAACGCGCTGCGCTCTCACATTTCTAACACCTTCCGCGTTTACCACCGAAGAACTATAACCGATTAACCGTCACATTATAAGCAACGAAAGAGTGACGCTGAGGACGGAACTCTGACGTCGGGGTGCAGTCAACCAATCACGGACTTTGTTTTCGCGCACGTTGCCACGCGGCAAGGCATTTCAGAACTATAGCAGAAAAAGCGACTGTAGTTACTGTACTATTAATGCAACCCATCAAAGATGCATAATATTTTATATATATATGAAGAGTTTGTTTGCAAAAACATAACTCCGTTTTAAAAAAATGTTCAAAAATCATGTTTTTTTATTATGTTATCATGTTTTATTGTGTTAGTTAGCTGTATTTTTTAGTTATTTGTAACCTAATCAAAATAACTCAACTGCAGTTTGATTGAGATTCATTGGAATGCACAATGAAAAAACATGAGTAATAGTACTTACTATTATAATTATAATAACAATAAATTATGCATAATTATATGCAAGTAACCCTAAGGCAAACCCCAATCCTATCCTTAACCATATAGTAAGTACATGTAGCTAATTAATATTACTCGGTCCTTAAATGTATAATTACACTGTGACAAGGACACCTTAAAATAAAGTGCAACTCTGCTTTTTGAAATAAAAGGTTATTATTGTTTTTACTATAAATACATAATCTTATAAATATATTTTTAAATTACCGTTGCAATAAAGGTTTTTGATCCCTTTGGAATTATTTTGATTTCTGCATTGATTAGGCTGCTCATGAAATGTGTATACAAAACCAATCTGAGTCAGCGAATATTATAAATGGGTATAGGCTATAGCCTTTAGCTTTAAATCTTCCATGCACAGTTGAAGACTGGCTTCTCCAGATGTATTTCCACATTGCACATGAACCCCAACAGCTCAGGGCTGACATTACAATGATGCGAACACCGTATCTCATTGCATAATTATCTAGTAGTATTTAGGGTTTGTTATTGGACTCTTAAGAGCGGAGGTGAAGCAAACGTCCCTCATCTTTCTGTATTCTATTTGTTCTGGAAAAACTCTTCAAGAAAAAGGCGCATTACTGAACATGATCAATAAGCTTGTAGGCTACTAATCATATGTGCATATTTTAATTACGTTTTAATGAATTATAATTAATAAGGATGACGACATAATTTATCCCATTAATTATATATTTTTATTTATTATTTAATGAAATAAAACTACTCATAGCTACGCATAAACTGTCCAGTAGAGGGAGCCACACGCTTTGTTTTTGCGACGATTCGTGACGTAGGGAACGTGCGGCGGAAGTGACGACAAAGGCGCCAAAGGTTTAAATTTGCTTCAGTTGACGGCGAAGGTCTCAAGCGTAAACTTGGTTAGTACAATAGTTTGGTATTATTTGTAGAGTTTCAGTAATGTCGGACCAACAATGTGCAAAAGATGGTAATATAATTCTGTATCTTTGAATTCCCTGTGGAGCTTTATAATGTACAAATGTTCGTAATCGGGTTTGACAGCCGCTACTGTCGACGCGTTTGTAAACAGTGTCTGTCTGACGCGCTGGAGATAGAGTTATTAATAGAGTTAGATAGAGTAGATAGAGTTATTAATGTAACTTACTTCATGTTTGGGCAGCAGACATGGCTGGAAGCACTTCCCCGGTGTACAAGGTGGATGCCGTCGTGCAGTTCTGCCGAGCCGAGGTTCTGACTGGACCAGAGGCTAAGCTTCTCTCCAAGAGTGATGTTACTCCGAGCCCGAGGTGAGGTATACTTCTGGATGAGCTATTCAGGGTTTCCACTGTCCTAGACAGCGAAGGATTACAAATAACACGTTATCCGGTGAACACAGCAACTGGAAAGGTAATCGAATTGGTATAAAATGCCAGACATTAAAATAATGCATTTCATTTGCAGGCAGAATCCGTTCAAAGAGTCTTCATGAGGGTTTTGCAGCTCTTTCGTTTCAAGCCTGAGTGCCATTATTACCTCAGTGTTGCTTTTTCACATCTGAATTATACAGTGCTTCACCCATGTTCCCCACAGATGCCCTTGTCTGAAAACGTCCAGCACCCCGTGCTTTAAGAGTGGCTTACACCAATCATGAGTGTTTACATACGCATGTAAGAGTTTAACTCGAATATCGACTGAAATATTTTATACAGAGTCCCTGAAAACTGCGTATGCTAAGATGTTGTGGATGGTCTGCATGTGTTCCTCAGCGCTGAGTTTCTCCACATTTACATTTCTTTTAGGTGCGAGTTCTTACCGTTTTGTCATGTATGTGATTTTTGGCTGAATGACTTGATCAACCCCAGTAAGTAGCTTTTATATTTATATTCTCTCTTTTAGTTTCACTATCAGGCTTCACAGAGCTCAAAAATAAGATTGATATTTTTTCCCTTGTTGCCCCAGTGTGTGTGTGTGCTTTCGTTTCCATATAACTATAAACTATGATAAAAGTTAATCAGCATGCATTGAATAATCCCATGTATCCCATGTATAAAAAATATATTGCGAGCAAATCGTGTGCTCGTGGGACCAGCTGGGAAAGTTAGTTGCAAAAGAGCTTCAGTGGGAAGAATGAGCCTGGAGCCCTGTATAGGCTATACAGTGCATGAAAAGCAAACTAGTGCTCTTCTGTTTCTTTTGGTGTATGACTCCCCCATGTGTCTTATTAAAAGCACAATAATCACGGTTAGATCAAAGAACCGCGATTAGACGGTTATTTAATTATCGCGACAGGCCTACTCATGGACCTATTTCTCTAAAAATCTTTGGTTATCTGAATAAAGTTACATGCTTTTCTATTTTTTTGGGGCGGGGGGGGGAACATGTAGCACATACTGTATGTATGTAGTAATTCTTTTTTTTTTTTCTGTTGTTTTGTTCTGATATTTGGAACCGTACAAACCTTTTTTTTTTTTTTTTTTTTTGAACCCTACAAACCTTTTTTTTTTTTTTTTTTTTAATCTTTCAGTGCCCTCTAGTCAAATGTGTTTTAATTTGTGCAGAAGAAATTGTCCACCTGTTATTTTTGGAAACTATTATTTTTCAGAATTATTTGTCCTAATTATTATACTAATAGCTAAAGATTAGGGTCACAGCAGACCCTTCTTTTTGTTTCCTGCGTAAAAGACGCAATGGATTGTACACCTTTGTTGTCAAACATTGTTGTCCTCATTAGTGTTATATATCTGCTGACATTTGGCATTTTTCAAATATGTGTTCAAAGCTGGACTTTTATTTTAACAGTGCAGAAAATGGCAGTGCCTATGCACACAGAGCTCACTTTCTCCGTCTTCATTGTTTACTGTCTCCATTAACCGTTCTAATACGGATAGAAGTCTGTCTAATAATCAGACAGAACTGTTAAACAACAGAAACTAAAAGGTATACAAAAAAGTTGCTTTTATATTATTAGTAATAGAAAAGCAATCATGATAATACTTTCTCGCTTACTGTCATTTAGCATTTAGCAAATACGCATTAATATCATTTAAACATATGTGCCACAGCCATATCACCCTGCAGCCCAAGACTGGTCGCCCATGGTGTGTGGTGAGCACACTGGTGCTGTTGTACTGTGGCTACCGTCGCATCATCCAGGTGGAGGCTGCACACTGGTGGTGGTTGAGGAGAGACCGCCCCCCCCACATGAATGTAAAGCGCTTTGGGTGTACAGCAATACACAATAAAGTGCTATATAAATGCATCATTCATCAAATCTTTGAATGTCTCATAAACGTGTGAGCGTGCTGGCAGAATGAGTGTGAATGTGCGCGGTCTAATTTTGAGCTACAGGCAAAACGAATGAAAAATGTCAGTTTTGATCGACTTTGAGGTTTTCACAAAACTGAGTTCACAAAGCCCTCTTCTAGCGATCCCAACGTTCCAAATCGTAATTAAACATCTAAAATGATCTTTATTTGTGTGTTTTCTGAGAGGAGGATCTCTTTCTCTGCTCACTTCTGGACGACTGCTGCTGCTTCTCAAGTTGTGAGCTTTGTGCTTAAGCTTTGTGAATATTCATATCGAATTCTCCATGACATGAGTCCAAACCCGTGAAATATAATTTTCAAACCCATGCTGATGAAAACAAAATGATCACGCTGACTTACATTTTCAAAGTGCGTGCAAATAATGCGCCTCTCCGAGAGTGAGCGATCTCCCTTTAAAGTACTTTACTGCGAAATATGTCTTGGCGAGATTCACACAAACATAATCTGTTATGTCTTACATGAACGTTTAGTTTGTTTACGTAGACTTTGTTTCTAAAGTAGAACACAAACGAAGATTTTTAACCCAAACCGTTGCAGTCTGTCAGTCTTATAATGGAAGTGAATGGGAATCACGGCTTTGAGAGTCAAAAAAACATACACAAACAAAACCAAATTAAACCCTGCTTTGAAAATGGATTAAAAATAATTGTGTAAAATAAACATACTTATACTTTAGAAGACAAAGCATTTTTCACAAATAAAAATCTAATTGAAAAGGAAGTAAACACTGTAACCAACAGGGCACTCAGTATGCACTCAGTATTCTGGGAAGTTTGTGTGCACTCATTTTACATACAGCACGCAATGAAAATTACATGAATATGGCAGTGGGCAAATGCACAAGCGCAGCATAATTTGAAATCCCTTATTTAAAGTTTGTCGATCGCGCGTCTCCAGTGAAGCTGAACTATCCTCCTGTCCACATTCAATTCACATGGACCGACCGTCACGCAGAGAACACGCGATCATGCAGGTCACATGCATGCTTCACAAGATCTCAACTGGATTCGACTAAGTCTGCAAGGTTTGTGAAATTAAATGTTCATTAGTCATTCAAAGATTTGTTTAAATTATATAAATGAGTATTTGCTGAATGCTGACTGCAAACACGAAAGTATTATAATGTTTGCCTTTGTATTACTAATAATATAAAAGCAATCGTTATAATACTATTTTGTATACATTTTAATTCCTTTGTTTAACAGTTATTAGATAGACTGTGAGCGGTGTGTGCTCATAAAAGTCCCTCCACGAACGCATCGGCTAAACAGAAAAACTTATCGGCCGATGCA